TATATATATATATATATATATATATATATATATATATATATATATATATATATCAAATTGCCAATCCCCCTCATTGTGCTATATATATCTACAACTTGTGAAACATAAGGAGGGTGATAAATGGAGAGTCAAGTTACTCCCAGAGTTCCTTCAAACACTTCATTGGAAATCTTTTGCAGGCAACTTTTGGCCCGTAGTTCTACTGAAGAGTTTGGGGGAACTTTGGGGTTCGCTTGACAATAAGAATTGCTTTTTTTTGGAAAGGCAACAAGAAGAATTGTTTTAATGGGTGATCTTAGGTTTTCCTTCTTCAGAGTCAGAATTACAACGACTTCAAGAGACGATGGTTTAAGATCAATCTAGATGGTTGCAACTACGTATAATGTGATTATAAATTGATGCATTTTTGTGCAGACGTTCTTCAATTCTCAGGTATATTTGTTCTTTTTGTTGATTCAGTTATGATTTATGAAATAACATTCTTTGTTTATGCAGCTTAATCAAAGATATACTTCAAAAAGTCTAAGTTACATCAGATTTTAAATATATAATTTTTGTTTGATTTAAAAACACACCTGAAATCGAATAAACACCATTATATTTTTTAAAACTAGGTTCATTGAACCTAGACATTTTAATGGATGTTCTTGTTCATCAATATCTTTCTTTTTTATTAACCTGGATATCCAACTAATTATGCGAGTAGACTAATCCTAATACGATCATCTGCTTCGCGGGTAATTCAGAGTCACCGCATTTGAAGTTTAGTTGCCACAATGAGATTTTTATTCATCAATATCATAGTTCTAACTACTTACGTGTGGGAGAATTTCGTTTTCTCTCTTTCAAATGTTTTGAAGATTTAATAAAAATATGTTCCCATATTTTCTCTATTTTAGCACACTATTTAGCATAGCTGGTGGATATACTTTTAAAAGTTATCAATGGTTTTGAATGAAGGGAATGCCTTTAATTTTTTCAGTTGTTTTCTTCATCCAGGATCGACGCTCATCTCAGTGTTTTTACGTCTGAAGTTCAGGTACGTCTGCAGACAAGCTTCAAGCAAGTTTTGTTGTCTTTTTGTAATGTAAGGGTTTAGTTTCTGTTTGTCGCGTGTTTTTGGTTTGTTATGATGTTGATTTGTTGGATTTTTCTGCATCTTGCATTAAGTCTTTGTTGACTTTATTGTATTTGTTTTTTTTTCAATAAAGTTTTACAAGATGAAAGATTGAACTTTAAGAATTAATAAAGTGTATAATATCATTATTACACACACACACATATATATATATATATATATATATATATATATATAAAGATCAAATGCTAACTATCATTTTTGTGTTAACCTTATTAACTTATCTTAACCATCCAAATCTATAATCAACGGTTAAGATTAATCAATAAAAAATTTAAATTTTAAAGTTTGAATTTTAATGAGGCCTAGTGAACAATGATGAAAGAGACATTTTGGGAAGAAAAAATACACTTATCAAGGGTATTCTAGTAAATTGAATTCATTTGTAACCCCCAAACAATTAATGGGGAGTTACAATCAATCAAATCCCAAAAAATATGCATTCATATTATTAAATTTTTTTTACTATTGATCTTCCATGTCATTCTTGTATGAATTCCTAAATCGCATAAGAAACACGGTAGTAATAATTTTCGGTATTTATCAATTTGAACACAAATGAACCGTGAACACAATTTGAACAAAAATGAACAACCGTGAACACAATTTGAACAAAAATGAACAACCGTGAACACAATTTGAACACAAATGAACCGTGAACACGATATGAACACAAATGAACACGATATGTGCAATTTTGGCCCATATATTCACATACATAAACGTTCCACAAAATTAAGGTAACATCTGTTAATTTGTGTTCAAATTGTGTTCACGGTTCATTTGTGTTCAAATTGATCAATACCGAAAATCGTTACTACAGTGTTTCTTATGCGATTTAGGAATTCATACAAGAATGAACATGGAAGATCAATAGTAATTTTTTTTTAATAATATAAATGCATATTTTTTGGGATTTGATTGTTTGTAACTCCCCATTAATTGTTTGGGGG